TCATTTATTTCACTTCCTAATTGATTAAATATATCTAATCTTCTTTGTGATAAGTCACCCATTGAATTACTTCTTTTCTTCCATTTATCTGCTTTTCTTTCTGAATGTCGTAATAGATCTATTGGAACTGCCAACCGTTCTGGCATAGATGCACGTGGTGCTTTTCTGCTGCTCACGCCAGCACCATCATCCTCATATTCATAAACATTATTGTCCGTATAAATGTCATCCCCTAATTCACTAGAACTAGTTGGTAAATTCTTTGACCATTTTTGACCGTATAACTCATCAATTTGGTCATGTGTGGCTTTAGAAGATAAATCTTCATCGCTAGTATGTGAATTACTACTACTAGAGTATATAATGTTCCGATGAGTTTCTTTACGAGATACACCACTAATATTAGGCGTATAATATTCAATTGCTTCCGATTCGGAATCGGTTGTTCCTGGAGTAATTGTTGAGTCCAAAGATGAAGACGATGACTGATGTCTTAATATATTTGATTGTTTTTGAGTTACTGTGTAATAATTACTGCTGTCATATGAGACAGCAATATTCGCCGATTCTTCTATTAATGATGTACCTACACCACTACCACCCCCACTGTCGACCATTATTTTGTCCACGTCAAGATCTTTCTGTGGTTCGGTCAATTTCTCATTGTTCTTTCCACCCAATTTTTTCGAGCCAATGCTAAATATATCATCATTTTTTTTCACAGAGCTCATATCACTCTTCCGATAATATACTTTCTTTAACCTCCTTATAACCCTCTTTAATCCCTGTACTATCCTTTGATCACGTGGCGAATATTTTACCAATTGATGTGAAGGAAGGTTATTTAGATATTTGGTCAGTGTGGTTCGTAGATCACGACATGGAATAAAATCATAAGCGAAATAATTTAAAAGCCAGTGACGTATAGTTACAAAAGTCCTATATAAAACAGGAAATAACCCACATTGGGCGTAATTAGGTCAAAACCCTTCAACTATCAAATTATCTTCGTGCAAATACCGTACCTGACTCTTACAACCCTTCTCTCTTCATCGTCACCCTCAAGTGCCCAATCGAATCTTAAGATCAATAAGTTGCATAACTTTATTGGAGTGATAAATTTTCGATATGTTAAGAAAAAATCCGTCAAGAAGGTGTAATCTGTTTAGTAATTTTTAAAAAGATGAATATACCAATACTTTTTTCTACAATAATAAGTAAATGATTGAAAATAGTTAATTAACATACCAATTCCACTTGTTAATTTCTCAATCAATTTTTCAATTGTAGCCGCCATTATGACCTTTCCTGCTGATGATGATGATACAATTGAATTGTCATTTTTTGAGCCTCTCCTTTGAGTGCGTAAAGTCTCATGAAAACTCCATCGTTTTGAAGTAGTAGTCGAAATAGAAAATGTGGAATCATGTTTTATTTCCTGAGCTCTGGATTTTGACCAAACGATAAGCCTAGGATCATCATCCGACTTTATTTGATCGAAAATTTCTTTACCGTAATTAGTTGAAATGAGTGGAGGTACCTCGGGCATTTGTAACGGTTTAGTCATTTGTCGCATTGCATCTGCCACTGAAAAGCTATGAGGTACATAAAACGTTGATTGCTTTTTGTAAGGATGTTGCCCTTTAGATTGTTGAATATCTCCCTCTTGGTCAATTGATGTATCAAATATTATCTCGCCACCATCTACCATATTATCCTTTATCGATGAGCTACCAACTTGACCTGATATTTGAGTAACAGGGTTCTGACCGGGTTGAGCTGGCCAGTTAAGTATTCTAGCAAGCATGCGAAATTCTTGATCAGAACTAGGCATTGCAAAGGGGTCATAATGCTGCATCGAAGTTGGAAGGAGTATTTGAGAGTTCGGACGAGGTTTAATTGGGTCGCTATATTCCTTTGGTCTGTATGGAGTAGGAGCGGATAAACGGTGTTTACGCGATGTTCTATTGTCACTATCATACATAAATGGAAAAAATATATTACAATTTAGAATTTTGAAGATAGACGAATTCGAGGCTGATATCACGATCCACCAAAATGTATCCCATTTTGCACATTAAAACCCCACATGGAATAATTCATCGTAAGAGATATTCATACTACTTAAAAATTAATCATCAAGATTTTGCTCGAACATCTTAACAAAGCATATAATTACTATATAAGATTCTAGTAAAATTCGTTATTTAACCTTAATTGCTTATCTTGGACTTTGTGCAGTCAACAAAGATTAAGCCACCCAATGCCTCGAATTCGGAATCCAAAAAACTGACCAATAGATTTTGTTAAACATTGATGACAGTGAATCTAAAGAGTCGAGAAAGGCATGTATGAATGTACTAAATATCGTTTTCTTGAGCATTTGATCTATTGATTTCGAATTGTCAATGATTTTCTACAAGATTTGCGATGAACAGGCGCCTTTTCAACGATAATTGCATTCGCATACGTCGTTCTTAGATCTCCAACTTCGAATCAAAAAAAAGTATTACCTCGTAGTAACAACATCTTCTAAGTTCATGAAAAGCTCACTGCTGCTTAATTGAGAACGCGATATCGATTCCTGATATTCATGAATATCAGTGTCGGAAGTAGACGTTATAGGGAATATACCGGATGTCATACGTGACGCGGTGGCATTAATAATATTAGATAAAGGTGTTTCTGAGGCTTGTTCTGTCGTGTTTTGTGGAGTACTTGTTTCAAGAGGTTCATTAATATTAGATTCTTCGGTAATTCTGCGATTAGAACCGCCTATGTCAATATTAACGTTTATATCACTACTATTGCTTTCCCCCGTGTTGTCCTCATTATTAGGCACGATATTATTGTCCATTGTCAAGAATTGCTATACTTTATTGTTTTCCAAGTTAATATGTGCATTAAAAAGGCTATTTCACCGAGACTTTCGGAAGTTTATGGCGTCTGGTTCGCGAATAATTTTGACGATTATAATTTTTTGCATAATAACCTAACAGCTAATATGATAATTTAACAAGCATATCATGAACTACAACCACGATTGGACAGATATATATATCAAAATTGATATAGCCTCGATTTTTGTTTAAACACAAAAGAGAAATATTAACTAACCTCCAGGGACGAGGGTATCCTGTTGATTACCAGTACAGATATTTATAAATTTAGACAAAGTTTGTCAGGTGTAAGCACGGAATGTACAAAAAAGTCAACTTTATCAGGTGTGTATACCTTTTTACAGGTAATATGCATATTATTCTAGGTGACATTCAAAGATTCCGTTTTCTGATATACACTCATTTATTTAAGCCCTATCAAAATACGTACGTACGTACGTACAGTACATGCTAAATAATAATTATTTTTAGTATAACGATGATGATACAGAATCTAATATCAATATTCGAATTGAGTTTAACCAATACGATCTGTTTATATTTAATGAAGGTCGACCTGTTTATTAAAGAATTTCCATATGCAAATCGTAATAAAATAGTGCAAC